TCAATTTGAAATAGAACATGTGCGCTCACCAGAGAAAGAGAGAGAGCAAGTCATCAGGTCCAGGACTCAAACTGTGGTCAGTCATGTGGGAGTGCCCTAACCACCACACCACCTGCTGGTCCCCGAGCCTGATGATTTTATAACTAAGATAATTTATTCACAAACTCTTAATTCTGGTTGCTGGAAAGTCCAAAGTCCTAGGACTACACCATGGCCCATATAAGCACAGAGGACGGGGAGCGTGCACAGAGAGAAGTTCTCACTGATCTCCCTCTTTCTTTTTGGCTAGATTTTTGCTATAGGGCATGCATGTTTGCTGGAGAGACAGAGAGAGAGAAAGTGAGAAGTCACTCCCCGGGGGGATGGTCATGCTGCAGTTCTTTTTTCTTCATTCTCCTTTCAGGATTTTGGGCATGCACACACACGTGCCCAGTGTGAATTTCAAGCCACTGGGTCTGGGACTTTAACTGCAATAGGTCATGTGGGAGTCTAGCACCCTAACCACTACATCACCTGCTGGTTCTTTTTTTTCCTTTTCTTTCTTTTCTTTTTTTTTTTTTTTTTTTTTTTTTTTTAGTAACATCCAGCTTTTGGGAGAACTAACCCCTTCTCATGTGAGCTAGAACTCACTGGCTCTCATGAGACAAGACATCACTAATCTATCTGTGAAGCTGTTCCTCCATGATGCAGTCACTATGAACCATCACTAACTTCTTTTTTTTTTTAAATAAAGAATTAATTTTATTTAACTTTATTTGTTTATTTTAATTTTATTAGAGAGGGACAGGGTGAGAGAGAGAGGGAAAGTGAGAAAGTAAGTCACCAGTTCTGGGACTTGAACCATGGTGGGCCATGTGGGAATCCAGCACCCCCAACCACCATACCAGCTGCCAGCCCCCCATCCATCACCAACTTGAGATCATGCTCCGGGACACCATGAAGGAATTGAGTTTTTACTTAATACCTTTATAATACAGACAATGTTGTCAAGTATTTCTGGAGGACTTATTCAAATCAGTGCACCCTCTCACCTTCAGATAAAGAGCTGTCATGGCCAAATTGCAACTTGAGACATGCGACTGCAGAGCACTGGGATGTGACTAGTCTAGAGGACAGGTACCATTGGCCTAAAGCCCACACTGGGTTCAGACTTAATATGGAACAGAGGCTGTGAGATAGCTCAGTAACTATATATTCACTACAGTTGAAATAATATTTAGGGTGTACTGTGGTAAATAAGATGTATTATTTATTCAAGGTGACTTCACTAGTTTTTCTGTTCATCTGTCTACTAGAAAATTGGGGTTCCAGCTGTGGCTTGCACTTGTGAGGTATTGCTGGTTTATTCCCATCCATCTCATTGGGTCTCTGGACCTGGGTCTGACACTTCCCAGGCACATGGTGGGGGCATCATCAGGCATATTTATGAGCGGAGAAAGCACCATGGGCTCCTTGATCTGAGTCTGCCTTTTTGCAGTGTGTGTGTGTGTCCTCTGGATCTGAGCGTAACTGTTGCACATGGGCGTGCATGCTGGCTGGTGCTGGGCATCCTCCCATCTGCCCGAGTGCCCCGGCAGGGGTATTTAGCAGAACTTCCAGAGGACGCAGCACTGTTCTGCAGGTTTTGTAGGCTCAGAAAACAAACCTAAATCCAGTCTTCTTGGTGTTGTGTTTTTAAACAAAACTTTGGTTTGGCTCATGCCTTATTTATAGAAAAACAATACTGAGTTGGGGAGTTGGTAAAGTAATAGAGTTCATTCCAGTGCTCTGTTCATCTCCTGTGTGAGCCAGCCATGTGCCTGCCTTCTGCTGCACTGCCTGTACGGTCCTAGGTAGATCTGGAATTTAGGGACAAGAGTTAGGTGGTAACTTGTGCTTGCGAAGCAGGACCTCTGGGGAGATCATTCCTTGCTGGGTTTGCTGTGTCCCCTCGGTGCTTGGCTCAGCACCCTGGCTGGTTGAGGACAGGCCCTCTCAGGTTGTGTGCCCAGAGTCACAGGAATGTGCCAGCCTGTGTGCTACTGCTGCAAACTCCCTGGACTGTCCCCAGGCCCAGGTCTGGGGCAAACAAGCCAGCATTCTCTGAATTGCTGGATCAAGGGAACCCCCTGGAGGTGAAAACAAAGCCCTTCTGTGTCAGCTTCCAGAGAGGTGGCAAACTGAGGGTGGTGTTAGTTGTCATGGCAACCAGTCATCAATCTGAGCATTATAGGGCCTAGCACCTCCCACACTGGGATCCCCATGACAAAGTGGAAAGGTCACCATCCCTGCTGGGCCATTAGAGTCCACCTGACTGGGGTCCAGGTAGGCTATAGGAACAAGGCTAGACACTCTTCAAGAAGGCAGTTTCATGAGAATAAGCAAGGGTGGTAGGAGGACAGTCCTTATAGAAGAAAACTTTAGAAACAATAATCAAGTAAGTGACTGTTAGTTTTACATCCTAGTTTTATGATAATATGTTTTGAAGACAAATGGGGGAATTTAGAACATGAAATTATGAAATAGCTACCACAAACAAAATGTCCCCTCCATACTGCTTTTGAGGGGGTAAAAAAGGTGTGGTTAGGGGCAGATGATGCTAACATGAAAGGAAGTTGAGTATTTATTTCTTATTTTATACAACTCTTACTCTTTACAAAACTGATATAGTCATGCCCATAAAAGTGTAACCCATGGCATTGGAAAGCAAACACTCTTTGTAATTATTTAAAAGGGCCTTTTAAAAAATTATAATACAAAGGTCTGTGCTCTACAAGCAGTCCTCCACTGTGCATTATAACAATAAGGCTTACTTTTAATACAAAGACTAAGTGTTTGGGAGTTATGAATCAACCACTGGATTTAACAAACATCATTTTGTAATTGCTTTTTGCATCTTTGTTTTTGGGATCTTCCATGTCATCAGGATGCTCAGTAGCTTGGAGTTCTTCAGCAGATTCTTGATTTGAAGGTTTGCTTTATTTGACCATTTTAGTTTAACCACTGACTTTCAAATTTCTATTCTGGAATTGCTTATTGTAATAAATTTAAGTAGAAAGTGAAGACTGATTTTTGTTTTAGAATGAAAGAGGGAGAGAAGCCAGTATTTTACTAAGTGAATATTTTCATCATTTCACTATTTATGCTGGGTTGTTGGTAAGGCTTGGTTCTGATATGTAAATAGAAGTACCTTCCAAAAAAACTACACTGGAATACCTTTTTTCTTCATCTCTGAATAGAGATTTTTATTTTAACTGATTTATGTATTATTTTACATTAACAAAATTTAGAGTTGTAACAAATTTAGGTCTGTTGTTCAATGCTACCCAGTTTCCCAGCATCACATTAAACATGGCTTTTAAGCCTGAAAAAAACAAAAAAACAAAACAAAAAAACCCTATGAAATTATGTGAGAGGATATCAGGGTCTAATGTGTCTTGGTTACTATGGTGATGTGGTGACACAGAATGTCATTCTTTGTCAGTAGGAGCTGGAGTTATTGAGGATACAATGCCATGTAGCCCACACTTTGAGAAGGTTCAGAAAAAAAGGGATAGTTACGGCAAAACATTAACACCGGTTCATTCTGCTAATCTACTATCAAGTTCCCCTTATATGTGATGGTGTTTCTCACTCCTTGCAAGGGTATTTTTCTTCTCCACATTTTGATTGTTTCAGAGTGGCTCTCTTGGAGTTTATCTTCCTTGAAGTGTGTTTCTTGGATGTGCAGAAAAATGTTTTTGTTCAAGAAGTTTCTAGCCATCAGTTTTTAAAACATTTTCTTCTTTTTCCTCCCCTTTCTTCTGGAACTTTCATCATGTATATGCTGGTATACTTGATGCTGTCCTGTATTTCTGAGGCTCTGTTGTCCTTCCCTCAATCACATCATTTTTTTTTTTTTTGGAGAGGTTTTTGCTACAGGGCGCATGCGCTCGCCAAAGACAGAGAGAGACAGAGAGACAGAAAGTGAGAAATCACCCCCCAGGGGGGATGGCCACGCCACAATCCCTTCTCCTCCATTCTCCTCTCAGGATCTTGGACACGCATGTACACGCGCCCAGCGTGTTTTAAGCCACTGGGTCCAAGACGCGAACCGTGGTCGACTACATGGGAGTCCAGCGACATAGCCATTACGCTAACTACTGGTCCAAATCACTTCATTTCTATCAATAGATTGTCAAGTCTGCAAATTCTTCTGCTAGCTCAGATCTATTAACTGAAGTAAAAAATTCCCAAGAGGGCTTCAACTCTATGAACTTTTCATTTTGGTCACTGTTCTTACAAGATAATTTATATTTGGCTTAAAAAGAAAACCCTCTGATAGAGCACTGTCATCACACCTCCTTGCTCCTTTAAATATGCTTTCCTTTAGTTCTTTGGACTAACCTGTAATGGCTGCTTTGTAGTTCTTGTCTGTGAAGCTTGAAATCTGGGTACCTTCAAAGGCAGTTTCTACTGCCTCCTATACCACTTGTGTATGTGCCATCCTTCTGGAGCTTTGAGTGTCATTAATGTTTGGATGAACCTGGACATTTTAGATAATATAACTGACCCCAAACTCCAAACTCAGGCTTGCTGCTTAGTGACAATCTGTGGACTTGCCTGAGATGCAAGCCACAAATGAAGACAAAGTGTATTTAGGGAACACATGCCTCTACATGTGGAGAACACACAGTGCCTGCCCAACAATAACCAAACCCATTGTTAAGACCCAGTTGCATGTTCTTTCCTGGGGTGGGACTGGGGAGGTCTCTAGGCAGGACACTGTGTCCTCTCGGCTTACCTTCCCAGGTTTAGGCCCTGGGATGGGTGTTTCAGATATAGTGATGAAGGCCTATGAGCAGGTGCAGGACTGCTCCAGGCGTTCAGGAGAGACTTGCAAAGCCTCCCCCACCCCCCACCCCCAGCTCTAGAGAGTAGACCTATGGACAGTCTTCCTGTTAAACACAAGAAAGGCCAACACTGTCCACACCCACAGAGGTATATTTTTATGCACATCAACAGTCAATATCAAGTACAAATGACGGCAAAGACACTTTTTAATTGGACTTGGCTTTGACGAATACTGACAAACCAGGCCTGATACAGTCTGATCATAAATAAACAGTCCTTGCCAGTAGTTAGGTAAATTCAGAGAAAACATGTACAAAAAAATCAAGACTTAATTTCATATTCTTTCCAACAGTAATAATTGCTTTCGGATTTTCTTTACATTCTTTGTGCTTTTAGTTCAGAAGTTAGAAAGAATAAATAATCTGTAAAATCTAATAACAAATTGTACAAAATTGACCAGATCTAGGGAGGGGGAGGAACATTATCATTTTACAAAATACTCTCATTTAAGATCACCAGCATTAATTTAAATTATTTCCTTTTCTGGACTTCCATTTCCCCAAGCAATTTTAACTAGGAAAATAACATGCATCAAATAGAAAACTGGTACTCTAAACACATTTTCTTAATGTGACATATTCTTGCTGTGTATGTAATGAGAATGAAAAAAAAAAAGGTTTTCTTCCTGTTGCCAAAATGTAAAAATTAAAAATTAGCCACAGGGAGCTCCTGAGGGTCCCAGGGTCAGGTCCTGAAAGGACAATCACTGGAGGAAGTCAGGACAGATTTAGAGAACAGAAAGAATCCAAGCTGCACTCTTATTCCTGGCAGGCTCATGGATATGAGCTCAACAGGAGGTGCGCTTATAGGACAGTCATTGGTGCCTCAGAAAAGTCAGATAATACAGAAATGTAAGGAGAAAAGTTCCTGCAACAGTCCACAGAATGAATGTGCCATTTCTGCCCTACAGGTCTTACTGGGACATCTCTGCAGTTCTGGACTGTATGGCTCGTCTGGCTATATGACCTATCTTTAAAGCTGAAATAAAAATTATTAGAAAAATACTTTGAACCAGGATAATGAAACTTTTTTCTTTTTAAACAAAAGTTAAAAATATCTGCTCACTTAAATCTGATCTTTATCAGTTTTGGTTTTGGATGTGATTTTAAGTATTACATCAACACAGCACACTAAAAACCATGCAACCACCACCACCACAGTTATGTTGTACACTAGACTTCTTGTTACAGTGACTATTTAACAGCATGATGTTATTTTTTTCATGACCTAATTATGACAAAAGTTCATTATGTTCATTACCGACAGGCAAAGAACAAAGTTAATATTTCTCACAGGGCCTTCCTCAGTAAGTTGACCCATCCAGTGCAACAACTGGCAGATGAAGTCCCACCCTTGATCCTCGGAATGAATGAAACCAAGGTAGGATCAGTGTAGCCCTGCTACCCAAAACCATGGCCTGGACTGCTCAAGCAACTTGGGGTTTTCTGTTGGGAGCAGCTGGGAGGAAGGGGACTGGCTCAGGTTTTGGTGAAAAACAGGCTCCCATACAGAGGGCGGTGGTTTGGAGGAGGGCAGGTAGCTTTCACTTCTGGATCTGAGGGTTCCAAGCAGGGTGGGGTGGCTGGGAGCACTAAGCGCTTGTGGACAAAAACTATACACTGTGACTCCTTTCCAGATAGGATTTGTAATTGCCTAAGCCATGGAGAAGCCTAGTTCAGTGGCTTAAGTAGCTCCCTGTTCCAGAGTCAGTCTTCTCTGTGACTTGGGCTCCAGTACACCGTGGCCTTAAACACAACCAGTGACTAAGTGACCACTGTGCTAAAAAGGCCACATTTCTGCACCTCCAACTGAAATCTGCCTTCTATCCAGCTTTTGTAATCAACTAAACTAGCAGAACTGTATAAAATCTATGTATGAGTGCCCATGTTCTGAATAAAGTACACTGTAACACATGCGCCAGTCCTTCGTGGCTGCTGAGTTTCTGCTCAGGTGTCAGACAGCACCACCACCACCATCCTCTAGGAACTGAGTTCAACCTAAGATGGAAAAGCCACTTGAAGGGATGCCACTTAGGTCCTTGGCTCAAACATAGATATGCCAGGACCTGGAAGATAGTAACAGCACAAAGCTTAGTAGAGGGGGCTCGCCATGGCCAAGTACTGGGTGAGAGCTGGGGTGGGTGAAGGCCCTCCCATGAAGACACTTTGGGCTTGCTGTCGAGGTAGGAAACAGGGAAGGCAACAAGCCAAGGAGAGGAGAAAAGTCCCCCTGCCAGTACAGAAGGCATCTTCTTTCCCCATCCTCTGCCTGTCTGTTCCCCCAGCTAATTACATGTAGAAAAACTAGGGTACTGATAGGGTCAAAAAATCATCTGTATCCAAAACTGCCAAATGCTTGCAGAACATGGAATGAAACCTTACAAGCTTTCAAATGAAAATAAGGCTGTGAGACCAAAAATGACCAGAGACCAACCTTGCATGGCAAATGTAGCAACTAGTACGACAGTTCTGCAGGAACTGACAGCTGGCCAGAAGTGTGACTTCATATGTCCGTTGTGCTAAAGCATCAATTTACCTAGGGATCACTGCATTCTTCAGCTCCATAGAAGGTCTCATTCCTACACTCATGGGAATCCCAGGAGTTATCCTAGAATGTGAGTCCCGAAGAGCTCAGTACAAGCCACATTTATAGCCAAAGACTCAACTCGTTGGGGCCCACAGCCCCCAACAAAGGGATGGGGAGCGGCAGCTCACAGGCAGAACTTTGTGCACAGTTTGGAGGAATTTAGGAAACAATAAAAAGGCCCCACATTTTTAAAGGTTTAATTTATAGAACATTCTATACAAAAGCAGTTTTTAAAAAAGAGACTGCAACCATCCTCAGAAAAAATCTACAGCTGTTGGCCTTCTCCTCGGAGTAGTGGGCAGTAACTTCTTGGTCACCAGGGGACTGCTTGCAGGGGAGCCGGTGGGTGTCTTCAGCACTCCATGGAGGGGCCTCTGCTCGGGATTAAAGGCTACTCGGGAGAGACCCGTGGGACTGACCAAGATACTCTTGTCTGTCTTCTTGAACTCTGTGCCACACAAAAGTAAGGCCCCTGTTAACTGGGTATGACCTCTGTCCCTTTGACCCACTGGACAGCATCCCATCTTGTGCTTCTGCAGGCCCCACAGAGAGCAGGTCCCAAAAGCGTCCTGAGGAAGTTAAAGTAGAGCCACCATTTCCCGCTCATCCATTTATCGCTCCAAACAAAATGCCGGGGGGTGGGGGGTGGGGGGCATGCACACCTGGACAGAGTCCAAGGGATTCCCAGGGTCAGGTTCTAAAAGGATAATCAGAGGCCCAAGTGTGTGCGTGCCTACAGAGCTGCAGGAGGCACCTTCCCTCCGATGTTCTGGTTTAAAGGAGAGGCAGCATTGCCCCAGGTGAGCTCCTCAGGTCCCCACCGAGATGCTCCTGTACACACACACACACACACACACACACACACACACACGCTGCTGTGGTCCCCACGGGCAGGCCTCAGGCTCACTATGAACTTTAGCAACTTTGGTTTCTTGTGAAGAAATGACGAAACATGAAAAGTAGTAAGACAGGAACATCCCTCCTCCTCCCTCTTCTCCCGGGAAGCATGTGGTTCTGAATTTTCACAGAGGAAGCTAGAGCTGCTGGACCATCCGGATCCAAAAGGCCTCTTTGTGAGATGGTCTGAAGTGTTAGGAAGGTGCCAGAACATGGCTTCCCACTCTTTTTGTCAGAGGACCTTCTTAGGAGGTCTGAGAAATCTGCCCTCACCCCCAGCGGTGCTTAATGACAGCACCTTGAGGATGAGGACACACAGTCATTGGCAGGGGCAGCCTTTGACCTCATACACCAGGATCTCCCACTGCCTCATGATAGTGTCTGTTCAATGGCCTGCGAGGTCTCAGGAAGCTTAGTCCCCAAGCAGATCAGACTTACCTGCAGTCATGTTTCTGTTCAACCCAAATGTGACCTTCTTGGAGCTGGACGGCGTTTTGCTTAGCTGCAGGAGAAAAATAACCGTGATGAAAGTGATGTGCAATCAGTCGTGCCATGACGAGCACATGTGTGGAGTCAAGGGGCCATTGGTACTGCAGAGCAAACAGGATGCCCCACTCCTTGGGTGCACAGTGCTCCCAGCCTGCGGACTTCATCCAGCACTTTGGTGTGTGCAGTGTGCCTCCCAACTCTACAGATGGGTTGCAGACCCCGGCAGTGCGATGTTGCAGCTACTGGCCTCATTACTGGCCATGGTTTGGATAGTGAAATAAAATTGGAATGTATGAAATCTCCCAAATAGGAAAAAAATTTACCACGGAAAAGCCATAAGGATAAATGTTAATAACTTGCTTCATTTTGCCCCAGAGTTTTAGACTTTTTTTTTTCCCTTCATGTTTTTGCCATAGGGTGCGTGTGCTCACTGGAGCGACAGAGACAGAGAGAGGGAAAGTGAGAAATAAACTCCCGGGAGGATGACCATGCCATAATCCCTTCTCCTCCATGCTCTTCTTGGGATTCTGGGCATGCATACACACGTGCCTGGTGTAATTTTCAAGCTGCAGGGTCTGAGACGCAAACCATGGTCAGCCATGTGGGAGTCCAGTGCCTTAACCACCTGCTGGCCTCAGGATTTTGAAAAACATTTTTTCTGTGGGGGAGATGTTTTTGCTGTAGGGCATGTGTGCTCGTCAGAGAGAGACAGAAAGCAAGAAATCACCCCTTGGGGGATGGTCATGGTCACGCCACAGTCCCTTCTCCTCCATTCTCCTCTTGGGATCTTGGGCATGCATGTACACGTGCCACCAGGTCTGAGACTCGAACCACAGTCTACTACTACATGGGAGTCCAGTAATATAGCCATTATGCCATCTGCTGGTCCCTAGAATTTTGAAATTTTAACTTGAAAATTCTATGAAATTGATTATCTAACTTTAATGAGTGATGATTCAACTTTGTGCACAAGGACTACAAATTATTTAGCTATTCCAATAGTTTATCAAACTTAAGTATATTCTTTTCTATTTAAAAAAGTCCTAAACCAATCTACTTTACATGAGGAAGTACCTCCTCCTCAATATTCCCCAAACTCCATATTTGTGTGTGAATCCCACCCAAATTTCTCTCCTAGCACTTTCGTTTTAACATTTCAAACATTTCATGAGGAACCTGGCTTTGTAAGCTTGAGCTGCACATCCTTTAAGGCACAATATGGTATCAATTGCACCTCAGAGCCCCTGACTTTGGCCCTTTGGGGTGGGGTCACACCTACAGGATCCCTCAGCATCAGTCCTAGAATACTCAGAACCACCATGCTGCCACCAGGCTGAGAACCTGGCTTCAGAGCTAGCCTGGACTCCTAATTTTAATTCATTATTGATGTTTTAGGTTTTTGCCATAGGGCATGTGTGCTCACCAGAGACAATGAGTGGAAAAGTGAGAAATCACCTCCTGGGGGAGATGGTCACGCCTGCACATGTACCCAGTGTGATTTTCAAGCCACTAGGTCTGGGACTTGAACCATGGTTGGCCATGTAGGAGTCTGGTGCCTTAACCATACCACCTGCTGACCCGTTGGGCTCCAAACTTTATCAGGAACTTGCCCATGGTGGCCAGGAACAGAGGCCAATGGGTCTGCTGAGTGTGCAACTGGGCTCAGGGGGGTCACAGATAGACCCGAGGCCTGGTAGCTCAAGCCCCTTCCTGTGGCCCTGTGGTGGGAGGGGCCATGCCCCTCTGGGGAGGGTGTGTACCTGGACGGCAGGTTCTGGAGAGCACGTGGCAGGACTACTTTTAGATTTTCTGAAGAACAGAGGCTTTGGTGAGAAGGTGGTGTCAAACTTCACAAAGTCATTCTCTGTTCTCATTGGTTTCTTCTTCACTGGACCAAATGTTCCGCTGCTTCCCTACGTAAGCAAGGGGTGAGTAGTGAGGGTAGGGGTTGCACTACAGGGTCTCCCTCCAGTCCACCCCCACACACAGGAACTGACAACAGGACACTGAGGTGGCAGAGAAGTCCCTCAGCGGAGACGATCCATAGCCACTGCCGCCTATGTGAAATCTGCAAAGAACCTTCTGCTTTACAGAGCTAGCCTTCACACACAGATCAACTCTTCCTCTATTAGGCACCATCAATCGGGGGCAATGAAGACGTCTTTTTTGACAAGCCTCCACTGTCATTACCTTCATCTTCCAACAGCCCTCCCTTTATAGTAATTCATTTCCTCATTTGTTATTAAAGACATCACGTCTGCTAAAAGTCTGGCACTGAATACTGGTATGACTTCCCAGCTGGACTCTTGGGTCCCTTCCAGGTAGGTGCAGGGTTCTCTGGTGCATGGTAGCTGACAACCACAATGAAGACCTCGCTTTAGTTCTGGGATCTCAGGCAGCTGGGAGGCTGGGGCACGGATGCTATGAGGTTGATTTCAGCAGCCTTGGTGTCCCTGCCTTGGAAAAGCTTGCTGGTTCCCTGAGCAGGGCCCCGGAAGCCCGCATGCTCCTGCCTGATGTCCACAGAGACATTGGGCCACACTGCCCCTGTCAGGAGAAGACTTCTCTTAACCCTGGACCAACTTAGCAACCATCTCAATCTTCTCTAGAATAGGCTGCTAGGGGCCTAGGGAAGGAGACACCAAGAAAGGATATGTCTGGTCCTCTTAAAGAGGAAAACACTGAATAAAAAGCAAGCAAAGGGCAGAGGTGTCACAGTGAAGGCAGGAAGGTGACATAGCCAGGTAGGGGAAGATAGAGGACCAGAAACTGGGAAATCCAGCTTAGTGCTGTTTTCCCT